CTTTTGTAATGACTTCCAAATGTTAACTAGCTTTTCTCTTTCATAAACTGCTTCATAGGTTTCCGTTTTAAAAGGGTGTTGAGAAAAATCAATGAATTTTTATTAACAAAGACAAAGAGTGTAATAATACCGTAGATCTATGCACATGAAAGTTGACGTTAGGTTCATAGAGCACCATCTCTTGATCGTTCAAGTTTCTTTCGAATGTAAGTATTCAGTAAGAATGGAAGAAAACATGGCGTTAACTTATAATAATGAAATGGTCGTCACGTTGGTAGCAGAATTAGTAAATACATAAATGTTCTCACTACTGAACCTCGTGTTGTATTTAAATTAATATAAATGTATAATGAACACGCGGAATCTAATAAATATATGTACTAAAGAGCACAGTATAGGCAGTCACTATCAGGCTAAGTAATTAAGTTAATTAGGAGGTGCAATCCATTTTACCCATTTCCTAGTGCGAATAGGAAATTTGGGTTTGTGTAACCATAGCAACTTGATTCGGATTTGTTTAAAAGACTCTGGAAATATATAAAATGGTTCCGATCTCCGGTAGGACTTTGTTTGATTTTGGAAATCCGCAATTTCGTGAACACGTCATAAAGGGTTTAATTATCTGTACCCGTCAACGTGGCAAAAGTAGAGAAATGAAATATGACGTTTACAAATGATGTGCCACCGTCAACGTAAACCGCATAATCTAGGTACACAATAAGAAATAATATACGAGGGTCGCTCATTAAGTAATGCCCCACATTTTTTTTCTCAGAATATATTTATTCAAGATGGCTGAAATTTAGTGACAATATAAATCAATGTTTCCTTTACACATACTATTTTTTCACATAATCCCCCATCAACTTGTACGGTTTTACGCCAGCGTGGAACAAGTGCATGCATGCCTTGCCGGTACCAGCTCTTGTCCTGTGCACGTAGCCATGTCCTCACTGCTTGAATCACGCTCTCGTCATCTTCAAATCTTGTTCCGCGGATAGCATCTTTAAGTGGCCCAAAGAGATGGAAGTCGGAGGGTGCCAGATCTGGACTGTAGGGTGGATGGGGTAGCACCGTCCAACCCAATTTGGTGATTTCTTCCCGGGTTCTCAGACTTGTGTGAGGGCGTGCATTGTCGTGCAGGAGCAAAATTTCTGCTGGATGCTTGTGAGGCCAAACTCGTCGAAAACGCTTCTTGAGGGTTTTCAGGGTCCTGATGTACGCGTCTGAATTGATGGGCGCACCTCTTGGCATCACATCCACAAGAATGACCCCATCACTGTCCCAAAAGACAGTCATCATGACTTTTCCGGCGGAGGGAGTTGTCTTGAATTTCTTCTTTCTCGGTGATTGAGGATGATGCCACTCCATTGACTGCCTTTTTGTCTCTGGCTCAAAGTGGTGTATCCAGGTTTCGTCACCTGTAATGATCCGGGACAGAAAGACCTCTCCCTCAGCATCAAAACGCTCCAACAATTCAGAAGAAATCGTTTTCCTTTGAATCCTGTGGTCTGCTGTGAGACTTCGTGGAACCCATCTTGCGCACACCTTCGAATATGCGAGAGCCTGGATAATTGCAATCACACTTCCATTGCTGACTGAAAGCTGTTGGGCCAATTGTCGAGTTGTGATGCGGGAGCTCGGTTTCTTCACTTCCTGAAGCTTTAACTCTCTTAGCCCCGCGACCAACGGTGCTCCTATCGACTGCACAGCTTCCATACACAGCACACCAACGTTTATGAATGTTCACCACCGTTTCTTTTTCAGCAACAAGGAATTCAATTACAGCTCGTTGCTTGTACCGAGAGTCGTTCACAGACGCCATTTTAACAGTTCACTACAGCTCCGCTATCGGTTGGAATCATTTGAAACTCCGTACACGAACGCGGGAAACATCAAATCTCAAGCATGTAAAAGTGCACTTTTCTATCTTCATTATTGGCTGAGAAAAAAAATGTGGGGCATTACTTAATGAGCGACCCTCGTATGTAGCTACTCAGTACGGACGCAGTACTGCAAAGTTGTAACTGTTCTTATTTTACTTTGGTGCATTACACATCAGTGCATGTAACCTTACGACGAAAATCTCCGTATTTTCAGAGCGTCCAGCGATTATTTTACTAATCAGTACTTTTGCTTATATTTTGTAGTTACAATTATCTGCACTTATAGATTCATTCGCTTCTGAATTTCTTTTGTTTTTATAATTATATTAAGGGCTCTTAATCTCTCTCTGTACTATAATCTTTCTTTTTTCTTGTCGGTTCTTTTATATCCTATCGCACTCCTTGGGCATCGGATTTCTTTTGCCACGAGTTTACTCGTATCTTTTTCCTTCATTATCAAAGTTTCAGTTTCGTAGGAGTAAAAGTGATACTGACATTGCATTACAAACTTTTAGTAGCGTGTCTCTACTTACTCTCAAACAAAAGCTACTCCTAAAGGTGCCATTAATGAAATTAAAGTTATTATTCTTTGTTTTAAAACTCTGTACCAGTATGTGACGGTGATACATGTGGAATGCTTACAGCTGAAAACGGACGTTTAAAACTCGTGATACTTTGTGCATTAGGAAGTTCACGTGCTTTCTTTGAAATGCAACCAGTGGCCCCCGTGGCAAAAGGCTGGCGATTAATGTCGCCGTGTTTTCTGACACAACACAAACCGAAGTTCCAGACGATTTTCACTGTGAAGCCCTTCTTGTGTATCTGGGGACTTAAAAATGCATTGTTACTGACGTATGACCCCCCCCCCCCCCCCCCCCACCAAATGGGAATAAATATTATCATCTGCTTTTCTTTATCCATTTCTGTGTTGGATGTTTTCTGAAAATGCAATTTTATTTGTTTGTTTATATGACAATGTATAATCTCCGCTGACTGAAACGTGCATGTCACATGTACAACTAAAAGTGTCGTGAGGCGACAAGAGATAAGACATACATCACAAACAATCTCACGGAAGAGGGAGTCTGTTTCAGAGCAGTTTATCTCGTTCGTAACTTTCGAAAGGTAAAACGCGTATGTCAAACTGTTTAGGTTACACATACTGAGTTAATAATTATAAAACATCTTTATGCACGCTTAGGTAGGTAAGAAATACTTGCTGTAGTAGGAAAACATCAAAGGAAGAAATCATTCGGGAGACTTTTATGTAGATGGGAAGATAATATTAAAATGTGTTATAAAGTCGTACCGTGTGGACTGGACTTGGGTAATTAATTGCCGGGTTACGCAAAATGCGAATTTCTCCGCATGCTGAGAGTGTGTTATCTTGAACCGACCCCGTAGGCCCTTGTGTCCTGGGAATTTAACTGGGGCGACCTCGGGACTAGGTGAGGGCCGACTGAACTGTGTCAGATGGACAGTATTCTTTTTGGATGTGACGGAACAGGTTCTCGCTAACACAAGACCGTCTCTCGGACCACCGGTTGGGTGGGTAAGTGCAAACTGGTCTTGTACCGCCGGGCTTTCGACCGAGATTTATATGTAGCTGTTTCTTTGTGTTTTCAGTTGGTATTTTACTTGGTTTAACAGGAGGTTCAATTGGGAAAGGAGCTACCATGTCTCTTGGTGGTAAATTGCCCCTGAATATGGAATTTTGTGAGAGGTAGAGAGGGTGTAATATTTGTATTTATTGTAAGGAGTTGATATTTCTCTTTTGAGGCAAACTATTGTTGAGCCCTTTTTGTTCTGGCTTTAAACTTCAGGGCTCGAATGTAAAGTCAATAAGTGTGCATTAATGTTTGGTTATGTTGTAAATAATCTATTTAACTCCATATGTCTTTGAGAAAATGTATCTTTATTTATCGCCATGGTAAGGAATAATTCAATTCAATTCAATTCATTTATTAAAGTGCTTGACAACAGCCAAAAAGGCCAATAACAGCCAAGCACTAACAACAATACAGACATTACAATACAAAAGCAAACAAACAATGAACTGAAAACATAAATGTATAATATTGATTTATTGCAAAATAACTAATAAGTAAATGAGCTAAATGATATGAATAAGTAAAATAATAATTAAATTACAATCAGTTCAAATTTGGACAAACAACATACAAAATAAAATGTTATACTAAATAAACAATAAAAAACAATGATTATTGTTTAAAAAGCTGGCTGACCTCAGTAAGCAAAACACGGTCTTTGTTAAAGATGTCGATGCTCCTACAGACTGCATTGGCACCAGAAACACATCTGGCAAAGGGACTGGCCTTGAAATTACGTTGTACAGTAAAGGTAGAGTAGTCTCTGATAGACCTAGTGGGTACGCAGAGACCAACTGTATCAAAAACAGATGAGCAACTAATTTTGCCTTTAAAAACATTGATGAGGAAAAGCGCATCCAAAAGCCTTCTCCATACTAATAATTATAATCTCCCCCTTTTGATTTGTCTGAAGGGGCGATAATGTTCCAGCTTTTCGAGGTTTCCTTTCCATGGAATTAATTAATGGCTTACCAAGGCGTAATATTTGAAGTAGTGGTCACTTAAGGTATAGCCTAAAAGATAAAAAGTATGGAAGAATGTGTTAATTTTCTCCCAGATTTTACTCAATTTAGAATTTGTGAACAGATCAACATTCCATATTCTGAATGGAGAGGAATGGCCTGTAGTGTCGGACTGTAGCTTCTCCGGTTTTCTGTTCTTTTTCAAACGGTATAAATCAGCACTTGAGCGTGTAGTTAGTTTTTGCATTTGAAATTCTTAGCACCGTTGACTGACGTAGTTATCCATTTTTTAAAATAAAGAACTGTAGTATATTTAATTAGAACATTTGTCGATTTAGAATCCACTTTTTGAAGGCACATGATGACACGTGATAACACCCAATTAATTTTCTTTGAATTTCAAGACACAACTGTGTGATTTTCTGATTTTGAACCTGCTCCGACAAAGATCTTGCCTCTTTAGTCAACAGGTGAGAAACCGCACACGACCGATTTAAATTTATGTGCTTATTCATTTATGTTTTGATTGTCTCGATTTTCAGACGGACTCCGGAATTGACGCTATAAAAATATGAGCAGTTGACAAGCACAGATGTGGGCACCAAGAATGAATAAACCGATCGACCGTAAGTAATTTTTTTCGAATCAAACGAAAGAAGATACAGTGGATTCCGGTTGATTGGGACACATCGGGACTTGATCACTTTGTCCCAAATTAACGTTTGTCCCGATAAACCGATGGCCAATTTAACCAGAATCTACTGTATGTATAATGGACAGTTGTCTAAATGTTTTGTGTGTGTTTAATATTTACCTTATGACGGCTTTGATTCTGTAAAATTTAAGAGATTTTCCTTTGGGTCCGCTTTCCCTTTCGTCTTTTGTTGCCTTCAATATTTCATCAGTAGATAGATGTCGGTGTTTGTGATCGATCCACTCTCGCTTTGTCCCCCGCTCACTCTGAAGCAGTCCACCTCTCTCTCTCTCTCTCTCTCTGAAGCAGTGTGCGCGGCAGCTCGCAAGATCAGTGAGTACGGAGTGAGGGGAAAGTGGAGGGGAGGGGATCCGGAGAAAAATCTGACGGGAGAGAACTCCGGGATTCCGGGCGGTACGTTTCGCTCCGGGTCGCGCCTCGTTTGCCTCACACAACCTCGCCACCGCCAACCGGTAAACATTTTTATACCATTTAGAAGAATCGTTAGTTCTTTTCCCCTGTTGTAGCCTTCCTTTGACGACAGTTACAACTTTGTACCCATGACCTGTACTATAAGACGACTTCGTGTATTAGTTATGTGTGTCGTTGGTTTGTTCTGTGGTTGGTGCTGTTTGGTTGACGACAGTGGTTAAATCCTGGCATCTGAGTCTGACTCGTCCGTCAATCGTCACGTCTGCATCTGGTCTGTTGTTCCACGTAAGCACTGCCAAAACTTCGCTGTGAAGGTTCAACATATCTTCAACTCAATTTATAACTGATTTATATTTTTAACTGCTTTAAAAGAACATACATCTGGATCTTAAGGCGTGTTTGAACTTTCTTCTTAAGCCAGTCATGAAATTTTAGGCATATAAAACTCTTTCCTGCAGGTCCTAAGCAAAATAATCTAGCCACACCGTTGAAAGTACGGATCACTTAACCCGTTTCTCTGTAAATGAATCAAGTTCTTATTTAGTAAAATTAATTTTCTTTAACTCCAGCTCCATCAATCACAGTTTTAATCGATTCGGAAACCATCACTTGACGCACTCACTGAGTAGTAACATTCTCGTGCACTCACGACTTCATCCTCTGAACCAGTTCTACCTTAAACCTTCTAACATCTTCAAAGGAGAATATTGTTTCTCTACAACTGATTTTTTGTTTTTCACCCGTTCAGTTCAAACGCCCTTTGTGTACAAAGGTAGGCATTTAAGCATAAAGTCTTGTGATTAGTGGGCAGATGATAATTAATTATTCATAAGTTGATAAATCTCTTCGTTTATCGTGACAGTAAAGACAGGAACTAGGCTATGTTTTTTCTTCCTTTTATCAACCGCTCCGTGATTCAAGAGAGCAAAGTGATGTGGTGTTTCATGAGAAAGTTGAAAAAATAAATCAACGAAGGAACTGTATTTGATGCATGTGGGAAGTAGAGAAGAAATACATGAGATTTCAGTGCGCGAGACAAAAGTCTGAAGCCAAGAAATACTTGTCCAGAAATTTCACACATAATATAATAGAACTCCATGAAACTTCAGTAGCACTGATACGAGACACCCCTGACGTTTCGGCATCGCTCACGCATTCTCCATTTATGGTGAGTTTCAAAGTCTGTGTTTTGACAGAGATAATATGAATCTCTTGGTTGTTGTAGGAAGTCGCGTCTGGTTATGTGTTCAGAGTTTATCGCCATAGTTTTGAATACAATAAGCTTTTGTGAATAATAGTGATAACATTTGTCGCTCCTTTTATTAATATACAGCTGTGTTTATTGAATTCGCTTGTATTATCTCTATGAATACCTGAACAAATTTATCATATTTAGGCTAAAAACACTCGACTACAGAAGAAAATTAAGGTAAAATGCGTTTTGGTTAATCTTGATAGTAATTGAAATATATATTTATAGAATAGGGGATTAATTAAATATCCAGCAAAATTACCAAATTGGAATATACCTACGCGTGTTTTGAAAATACAAAAAATTGTAACATTTTGGCCAGAAATGTAAAATAAGCGAACCGTGCCTCAGAAAAGAAAG